ATCATCATCATCATCATCATCCTCATCCTCATCCTCATCCTCATCCTCATCATCATCATCATCATCATCATCATCATCATCATCATCATCATCATCATCATCATCATCATCATCATCATCATCATCATCATCATCATCATCATCATTGTTTGTTGTTGTGTTCTCCCTGTCGCACCCCGAGGCCACTTTCGAGGACAATGGTCAACAGTTTCACAGATGGAAGGCGGCTGGCGTTCAAACCGTTGATATCGCTTCAACGCCGCGCGCACTCGAATTAAACAATTACAATAGTTTCGCGGATGGATGGCGGGTCGTCGTCCGTCGTCCGGATGGATGGCGGTGAGCGCCGCGCACGTTCGTGCTAACAAACGGAAGAATTTACGGATTGATGGCGGGTCGTTTTCAAAATGTGGCTCTCGCCTTCGCGCCGCGCGCATTCGGCTGACAACAAAAGAATAATTTCACGGATCGAGAGACTGTCATTTTCAGCATGTGGTCCTCGCCTGAGCGCCGCACACACTCGCTGTAAAACTGTGGCCGTTCGAACGTTTTTGTCCGCGTGCTGCCGCAAGAACCCTTTGCACGACATGGGTCGAAGTGCACGCGCGCGCGTCGCCGCGCGTGCATGCTGTTTTCTTTGGAAAATGTGAGGTGTCGTGAGGATGCCAAGACAGACTGCCACAAAACGTTATATATACATATAAACATGGTTTTTGCAACGTCAATGTTGGTCTGTGCTCGCGATGTGGCGAATTCAAAAAAGAGTCCTTCCTAAGTTTCAACCCGATTCGAACACACGGCCTCTCGCGCGCGCATGTCGGAATCATTCGAACGCCGCGTGCTGGGAGGGGCACGATCCCTGTCATATGCTACCATACGGGCCACTCGCGCGCGTCGGCCGCGCGCACATGCTTTCCAAAACCTTCATAACTGACGCCAGGACACCGTCATCATCATCGGCGTGATCATCATCGGCGCCGTCATTGGCTTTGCTGGCGTCATCGTCGCCATCGTCACCACCATCACTACGATCATCATCGTGTCTACCGTTGTCGACGTCGCCATGATACCGCGCCCACCCGAGTCACCGACTCGCACTGAAGTGACCCAGCGGCCAGCGCGGCCTGCGAGACATGCTGGGAAGTGCCCAACGCTCAGCGCCACAATGGTCGCGTCGGTCGCGCCAGACTAGCTGGCCGCTGCGCGCGCGAGCATGCGCGGGCTAGTGCGGCTGCCAAGCACTCATCGCAATCGCCGCCGCACGGGTTTCGCAAACCAAATTGCGGGTGGGTGGGTGGGCAGTTTGCGCGAGCAGTAGAATTGGCAATTCCAAATCTTTCGAAATAAATTGCATCGAAGAAGGTGCACCACATAGATTGCACCGCGCAATGCGCAACATATATTTTCCTCACACAAAAAACGCTAGGATCTACCTTCCCCCCCTCCCCAGACTTAACGCCTAACTTTTTCGCATTGCAACGCATGTGTGATTCTGCCCCATCGCTTTCAAAAACCACAGGTTCCGCAAAAATGCCAAAATCGAGCGCCCCGATAACGCGTGGAAAGCAAATGGTTTTGCAACCGCAGTTTTCGACAAAAAGAGGGTCTGCGCGCCTGCTCTTTTGAATTCTTCGGACAACCAAATGTTTCTCCATATGTTCATCAAATCCTACCAAACGTGCCTCTCGCGCGCATGTCCAAATTGGTCAAGCGCTCTCGCGCGCGCGCTGTCGCGAGAATCCATTACGAAAGAACGGGGCGAAAAGCACACGCGCGCGCGTGCGTCGTCGCACGCGCATGCCGGAAACCCTCGAACGTCGAAATTCCGTGCGGATTTCAATGTCGAGTGCCCCGTAAACATAAAACACGTGGCCTTGCAACATCAGTTTTAAACAATCATGCGCGCGCTGACGAACTGTAGCGAAATCCTACCAAGAGGGCCTCTCACGCGCACGTCAAAATAGTTCTAACTCCGTGGCGCGGGCGCCGGGCGCGTGCTGCGGGGGGGAGGCGCGATCCTTGTCAAATCCGCCGCCGCGCCTGCAGCGCGCAGTAGAGTGCCCCGAGGTCCATGCAGCCCTGCGAGGTTCCGAGCTGTGGAGCTTTCAAAAGCTTCGAAGGGCCCGGGCCACCAGCCTCACAAAGATTTCCGGGGATTCCCCAAGACTCCCCGGGATTCCCTGGGCGCGGCGCGCGCGTCCTCCAGCGGCGTGGCCGGCCAAGCGCGGGCTCAAAAAGCGCCCGAGAGGGCCGAGGATGCCTCCGAGAAGACCCAGGAGTGCCTTCGCGGATTTCCAACGCCCCAAAACGGCCCGCGAGGCCTCCGAGATCGTTCCGAAAGGGACCCCGGTGCCCCCGAGAGGACCCCAAGACGGCCCGGCCCAAGGGAGCCCAAAGACGGCCCCAAGAGGAGGCCCAAATGGGGACATTTCGAGCCCTCGGCCCCGAAATCCCCCCAGGAGGCCACAGGAGGCCCCCGAGAGGCCACGAGACGCCCCCA